GAATTTGGGTCAGAAAATAAATGCAAAATCCTTGGTGTATTATGTGTAGTTGTGTATGGCATTCATTCATATATGAATACAATGATAGGATGATCAGAGATGGCAAAAATAATCGTAATCGTGGATATCCGCCCGAATCCGTTCTAATTGGGTAGGGTAAAACCCGAACCAGAAGGACTTTTAGTGGGTATGGGTAGAACCCGAACCCGAATATTGCGGATAATGGGTGAGCATGGTTTTTCTACTATCCAACCCGAACCCGCCTGATTATACATATGTGTATGGATTTTGTCGAGAAATAATCATTATTATTCTCTAACATATTTTATATTTAGCATACGAATATAATATTTTCTTCAAATTGTGTTGTTTTAATTAATTTTCTTTATTCTAGTGATTTATTACCATACGTTTCCGCTTATATAATGTGAGTATATACGTGAATGTTAACATATTGGTTGGAGTTATAAAGAGAAATTAATACCCATGGATAACCATGAATACCGGAAACTCAAACAGGTATGAGCATGATTTTGATTTTCTATCCATTTTTATGTGGTATGTGTATGTGTAAAACTCGAATTAAATTAGATAGAGTAATGAATATGTACTATCCGCCCCGACCCGATCCATTACCATGGATGATATGTGTTAGTCTTGTCTTTGCTTTTATTTCCTGGCTTCCGAGATTCCTCCTTTCCAAATTCCTGCTTCGTCCCATCGCACACTATTACTATAGTATTATTCACCAATACCACCAGATAACACAAGAAGAAGAGAATAGTAAAAAGTAGTACTACAATGTTCTCACTAGCGCTGCAAATGAGCTAAGTTGCTCGTGAGCAACTCGGCGTTTGAATTGGGAAAAATTCGTTCGATATTCGATTCGTTATTTAACAAGCTGACTCACGAGCCGACTCGTTAGTAAACGAGCCAAGTTTGAGCTAGACCATGCCCAGCTTGATAAGCTCGCAAGCTACTTGACTCGGTGGCTTGTTGAGCTAAGCTCACGAGCTGGCTTGTTTAGAGCTTGCAGAAGGATTAATCACTCTTCTGAACATGAACATTATCTTGCTAATACTGATGTGTAATGAAGTTAGCTGCTATTTTTAGTTCTAGCGTGTTTTTTTTTTTCATTTAAATTCTTATGTTTACACATTTTTCAACAAGAATGATTTCAAATCGAGCTCATCTTTAGTCGAGCTTGTACTAAACTTGACAAACTGTGTTAATGATCATTTACCAAGCTCTACCGAGTCGAGCTCGACCTAGATTATTTTTATTCAAGCAGAGCTTGAGCTCGAGTTCGAACTGGATTATCAAATTTCGAGCCAACTCAAGCTGAAAATTTTATAAACAAGCCGAGCTCAAAACAAGAAAAAACTCGACTCGACTCGTTTGCACCATTAGATCTGACCTATTGGAAGGTCGGACAAAATTTCCTATAGTATAGTATTTTTGTTGGGAATGCAACATTTGCCCTAGCTAGCCATGAACTTTTTCCTACCCGTGCTATAAGGAAAATGAAAGGAAGGCCAATGCAACAACAACTACCAGAAACGAAACCATCCATCGGCTAATTGTCTTATGTGGCCACATAGAAAGCACAATACAATAGTAGTTATAACTTATAAGTCATGTTTATAAAATAGAACCCACAGTTAGACCCTAGACAAATCTAGTAGTGGAGTTTAAATGGCTGAGCAATTTTTAACGGTATGAAACAATTGAACAATGATTAAACGAAAGTTTCAACACAAAGTATTCTATCGCTGATTTCTTTAAGTACAATCTATGATACGGTTTTACCGTCATAAGTGCTATGTCACGTGATGAATTTCTGCATGAGTGCGAGCCTGAGCTTCGGAATTCATCAGGCATGGGCTCAGGGGCGGAGACATAGTATTAAAAGGGTGTGCCACGGCACACCCTTGGATCGGGGCTAAAACATCAAAAAATAGGGGTATTAGTTTATGCTATAGCTAGGATTTGAACGTGGAACCCCCTTACTATTAGCTTTGACATCTTCCACTAAACCACAATTACTTACATGATAAACTAATACGTTTTATTGCATATATATAATTTACTGTTTACAAATAATAAGTAAATTAAATTAAAAAACCTCATAATTACATATGCTTATTCAAGAAGTAAACAAAAATTTAACCCTAACAAGCGAGCTTCTTGATAGTCTTGATGATGAATGTATTTTACAGACTTTTCAAAATATGAGAACCCGTCGTGGGTCACTATAAAATATTGATAGTCATTTTAATTTTTTTAAATTGGCACCCCCTTACCCAAAATCCTGGCTACGCCACTGCATGGGCTAATTTGATTTCTAGCCCAAACCAGCTGATTAAACATAGACAAAGCCCAATAGCCAATACCAGAGTTGCCCTACCACACTGAAACCGATCGAACCTACAAAGCCACTTTCTCCCAGACCATTGGTGCCAAGGATTCATAGCATTTTCATTTTTCAAACGGAATGCTCCGCTCACTAATCAGCCATTCAGCTTCATCAACAGCGAGACAAGAAGAGCCATCGCACGGGAAAGCTTTACTTATTGACTGTTCATTCAATAGTTGATAAAGCTTTATCAATTTTGTTATTGGGGAGTGAGGACGTGCTTACAAGCATTCAAAGCTGTCGGATCCTGTGTGAACGATTCGTATCAGAGCGAACGATTACGAAGTGTTCGCACCGATTAAACAGAGCACCATGATCGAGTTGAACCTTTATAGTGCTGTAGAAATTGCAATTGCAGTAAGTCCAGGGCACATCACCTGGATCTACTGCCATGGTCTATTCGACACAGCAACAGGTGATTTAGATTCCGCCGGAGTTTGAATTCCAGGCAACAACCCAGTTAGCCTCTAACAAATGTAGATCCAACACCTTGAAATTCGATTCAGATGCAATGAGCCACGTATCTCCATTAATTACCGATCGATTTCATTAATCGAGAATCACGAGCAATAAATACGCAAACAATGACGAGAACAAAGAGCTACAGCACCTCCTTCATGGGATTTTACTACAGGTTCATACCGCATACATACGCTAAAGAGTCTAATTCCCAGAGCAAAGAGCTAAAGACCCACAACCAGAGATGAAAAAAACAAACCAGTGGGGAGGCTCTTTGGAAGTGTCTACTAATCCAAGCCCTCTCTAAGGCTTTATACACATGATAAATTAGAGAGCTTCCATCAAACAAAAGCTTTGCTTACCCATGCAGCTCGCCCGACGGTCTAACTTCAACAAACAGCTACACCACCACTTCAAAGTCTTATCTTCAACTGTTTTAAGTCGTCCAAAAGTATCTGAACTGGGAGTGTGCTTTATCTTGCCGCCAGACGGAGGAGGTTCCCTCATCCAAGGTACCTGTCATTTGACCATGAATCATCACTGAGACGCTAATGAAGTCATCTTATCATGTTCCCGTGAAGTTCTACTTAAAAAAGGCTGCTCTAAGTCTAATCAAAAGGGAAACAAATGGAAGATTCAAACACCCAACAGCAAATCTTGGAAGATTCAGTTGCAAGATCAACAGACCATTAAGGTTTCTAATACTTTAGAATAAAAGACGAAGAATGGAAACTGGAGAAACAAAAGAATGGCATGTATAACGGAAACCAAACAGGACCGTTTTGAATGCTGAATCTAAGTTGATCACAAAGCATCAACTAATCAATATGAGAAGAAAGATAAAATCTTTCAGACAGTCCGACACTAAAAACTGCTGGAGATCGTATCCTGCTAGCCTAATATCTGATTGAATTTCGATATTATGCAGTTTTCCCTATCCTAGTATCCCCTTTTGAGTGTTCCTAGTCTCTTCACTTCCTACTTCCAGTCTTAACTTCTTCCTTCTCAATATCATATTTCTTTCCTTCTTTTACTTCCCTCTCTCTAAGGATTTACAACTTCTTCTGCTGCCCCAAACGATAAATTTGACACTAACTAGGACATCACAAGTATATCAGAGTGGTTCCCAGCACAAAAATTTTCCTACCTTTCACCACGAAGCATTTTCAGTCTGATCGTTGACGACGATTATCTCCATCCAATTAGCATCTACGTCTTGGGTTAGATTCTTCACTGATCCACTACTACCCCCAAACGAACATGTCAGACATGAACAAAGGACATAAATGATTCATAACGCGGGAAGATTTACTCATTAAAGAGGCCAGTTTAAAGGACAACAGTCAAAAAGCAAAACATGAACATGGTTCTCCAAGCAGAGTGATTGAATTCGGGACAGATGGAACAAACCATGACAACCTGCTGAGTGCTGAGCAATTAATTAGCCTGAGAGACCATCTAGCAACTACATAGTTAAAACCATCCAGCTGTAAAGTCATTGACTTTGCGATAAGTTAACACTTTAACGGCCAACTTCCCTCATCATCCTATATCAATTCCACTAATCACCTTAGCTAGCTTCCAAGTTCTAAATATGAATCAAACAATATAGAGTAATTCCAACTTCCAAGGAAAGGGAGAGCTTTAACTTTCAACGCCCAATTACCATGCCTTCCATATTTAAGGACCAATCGGGAGCGCTTACATTTCCGGCAAAGCACCCACAAATCAACAATCAAGTACTAAATGAATTCTATCGAAGAAAAAGAGTACCTAAGGTTTTAAGTCCAGCTAGTTTGGCAGAACAGAGACAAATTTGACACAGAATCAAATTTACAGGCACTCTACTCAGTCAGTTGATGTCTAACAGAAGTTCCTCACTAGTTCTAGTTGCACCTTAACGAAGTTCATCGTATTTGTCAATAAAGTACTCAGATTTTGCGTCGCATTTACCACTATGAAACAAAAGTGTAAGATCTGTCAGTAACATCTGCACAGAACAATCTATCAAATGGCCACACATACAGTAAAGCACTGAACTTGCACTGACAAACGAAACAGAACAGGGAATCCCATCAACCATGCAGCTCAAGTATGAATGCAAACAGAGATAGTTACAGCTATATTACCCGAGATTGTAAACGCTAATGGGGTCCAGAAGCTGCGGCTGCTGCTGATGGTGATGATGCTGGTCTTCCTGCTGCTGCTGCTGCTGCTGCTGTTGATGGTGATGATGCTGGAGTTCCTGCTGCTGCTGATGTTCCTCTTGTTGCTGCCCCAATCCAACACCACCAGTTCCCACTGCAACGGCACTAGAAGGAGTTCCCCTCGCTTCCACAAATCTCCACAGGTACCACGAGGCCACAGACCTATAAGGCCTCCATTTCTCGCACAACTGGTCCATCTGCGACGGCCGGGGCAAATCCTCCAAATTGTACAGCATCTGCACTCCTTTCCTGATCCCCAAGTCGTTAATCGGCAGAACATCCGGCCGATGAAGCGAGAAGATCATGAACATGTGGACAGACCACGAACCTATCCCACTCACCATGGTCAGCATCGTGAACAGCGACTTATCGTCCATGGCCACAATCGAGGAATCTGATAAAATCCCATTCTGATACTTCCTCGAGAGGTCGTAGAGGTAGCTGGCTTTCCTCCCCGAGATCCCAATTTGACGGAGCTGTATCTCGGATTGGGCGAGGACGGTTTCAGGGCAGACGTTGGATTCGCCCCCGAAGAGGGAGATGAAGCGGGTGTAGATCGAGGTCCCGGCCTTGAAAGCGAGCTGCTGGTAGACGATGCTTCGGGTCAAGGCGAGGAACGGCGTGTGGAAGGTGTCGAAGGTTGGGGACGGGTAGCGATCGATTAGCGAACTCAAAAGAGGATCCGACTGACGGAGGTGGCGAACCGCGATGTCGACCTCTCCTTCGCAGGACAAGGATCTGGCGATTACCCTCGGCCCGACCACTAGGGCGCGCTGCTGATTCGCAGCCTTGGTTGTTCTCGATGATTTCGCAGCGGCGGTTCTAGCGGCCGGGGTGGCAGCGGTGGTGGTATGAACTTCCTCGGCAGCGGGGGCGGTCGGAGTGGCTCCGTCCGGAGAGAGCTTGCGGATTTTTCGGGGGCGGGAGGGGATTTTGGCGAGAGGGGATAGGGTGGAGTGAGGAGGCGGAGGAGGGACGGCGGTGAGTTCGGTTGGCAGGAGAGTGACGGAAGAGACGGTGGCGGTCTCGATTGTGGTGATGGAGTCGGGAGCGGCGGCGGCGGAGGAGGGGGAATCCGGTTGGGGCTGGGCCTCTGAGTGAGGCTGGGATTGGGTTTGTTGTTCGCCCATGTGTGGCGGAAGTAATAGGGCGAAGAAGCAATAGCAAAAGCTTAACCTAGCGATGGCGGAAGAGCGGCGGCGGCGGCCGTGGCGGAGAGGGTGGTGGGTGGTAGAAGGGGGGAAATTTTAGGGAAGGAAGGAGAAAGACTGAAAGAGTGGTATTAGTAAAACGGTGAGTTATGGGGTGTGTGTGCTTTGTCGAAAATAGGCGGAGAGCATTTCTTTTTTCCTCTTCCCACGCTCCGCCATTGACGCGTGCGGTTTTGGGTGGGCTGCACTTGTTGGATTGTACCGGGCTTGTAATTTGGGCCGTACAAGTGGGCCCGGAGAAACTACGGATTTGTTCCTACATCACTTTGAAATATGAAGGTTTTGATTAAAACTTGAGTTTTATAAAATTATGGATATATGATGGAATTGTTTCATTTGGTTTTTGGTCAAAACCATTATTTGTTTGTTGAATTTCATGATGGATTTGACATAATTATATTTGTGACTATATTAGAAATTTAACTAAGTACCCTTATTGACCATTACTTACTTTTACAAAGTTTTGCTACAAAGTATCAACCAATTTCCATCCCATAGCTCCGTCACACTACCATATAAGAATAAATGAACATTATAATTGTTGGGCCCATAATTGAGCGGTATTTGATCCTAAGCCCAAAAAGGAATAGACAGGCCAGGCCGAGGGGAGGCCCAAGAAGGGAGCCCCCATGAGGAATCGTGCTAGGCGGCCGTCCTAGGGACAAGACAGGTATAGGCCGCCTGACATAAAGCACGAGTCGTGACAGGAGGAGGTGATCTTTCTCATATACGGACCTCGAAACCATCAGGACTGAGCATTAATTACCCGTCATAGGCGGTCTAGGTAAAGTAGTGCATTGCTAGGACGCTTGACAAAGCATTGAATGCTCTAAATTTCACATAGCTGGGCATAAATACCCTCGTATATGCATTGATGGTAACTCAACTACTTCCTCTCTCTCTAATACAAACATATATTCTCACTTCTCTCTCTAACTTAAGCATTGGAGAGTGTCCTGGGCAACCACCCACGGATCCTTGTTTTGCAGTGGTCAGGAGTACACCCAGCATAAAGAACAGACGCCTCACTCTCTCCTCAAACCGCCTAGAACATTCTACGCTTAAACAATAATCAACAATGAAATTCATTAATCACCAACAGCTTCACATTGTTACGCATCATTATACGATTTCCTATGGTTTTCGATGTTGCAGAGTATCTTTTGAATTCATCGTGTAGTGTAATTTCCAACCGCTTTCGTGTAATGAATGATAATGAAAATTGAATACAAAATTAGTAGGCACAACAAGTTGGTCATTAGTAAATGAAATAGGACAAGTTGGTCATTAGTAAAATAAGTGGGGATAAAATGATGTCATCATGGACTTTGTACCCAAACACAAATTCCACCTCTTGAGGTGGAATTTTCAATTCCGTGGGGTCCACGGATTTGGTCCCTCAAAGTTCGCAGACCCCACGGATTTTCCCCTCCTAAATCCATCAAGCAAACAATGGATTGTGTCCAAAGTCCATAATGGTTGGATTTTATACACCAAATCTATCATGAAATCCACGAACCAGGTTGTTGGTAAAAACAACTTGTTTCTCGACGAGTACTCAGGGTTGTTAATGAGCCAAACTATTCGCGCTCGGTCTCCAACTCGATAAAAGCTCGTTCGATTAAAAAAAAACTCGACTCGTTTATAAGCAAGTTGAGTTTAAGCTCAGCCTTGTTCGGCTCATAAGGCTCGTGAATTAGCTCAATTAGGTGGCTTGTTGAGTTCGACTCATGAATTGTCTCATTTTGAGCTCATGAAATGTCTCAACATTGCGACTAGAGAGCCAACTTGGTTATGCCTTATGAGAAAATTGATCTATATCTTATGAGTTGGTTTATTAATGATGCATAGATTTATTAACTTGTATATCTCACCTCATGTGATGTTTAGAATTAAGTATGTGAGCAAATATGTCTCATATATGTCATGAAGATCAATATAAATAGTAGGGTATTTAATTTATAAATGACAAAATACACTTGTATAGCCATAACTTTAACGCTTTTGACAAATATAACCACTTTTTGAAAAATACACAAATATAGCCACTTTTTGAAAACTAGTTTGACAAATTTAACCATTTTCGTTAAAAACTTTAACACTGTCAGTGACTTTGTCAATAACGTAAACGTTATGCTGAGGTGGATGCCACATCAGCTCTAATATGATATGATAGGGGTAAATTTGTAAGTTCAACTTAGAACTTAAATATCTTCTTAGGAGAAAAAAAAATGTCATTACCAAGACTTGAACTCAAGTTCTTCAGATTGATAGTCAATATCCCTAACCAACTAGACTACAACAATGTTTATGTATTCTTTGAATTAAAGAGAGAAAATACTGAAATATCTCAAAATCATAGGACTATCCACCGCAACAATCAATCATCGAATTAATTAATAACTGTAATTATTTACAAAGTGAATCATCATGATATACCTAGCTTTATGAATCAACTAAGTGAGTTCCTCTAATCACACAATTCTTCACCAAGAATCAAATAGTACATTTTGAGTTTATGTATGTCTTACAACTTTTACATTTATTAGGTTACATGACTTTGTAGTTTGTAGGAATACAAGGATTGTTTACAAAAGTGCTATACAAAATTTTATTTCAAAACATAAAATTTGACATTTGTGATCTATGGTTTTGTAACGAGACATTTTCAATGCTATAAGTGAATGACAAAAAATCATTGGCTAAAAATTTCCCTAATGGTTGAGAATTATGAGCATAGAATTGAAAGACTAAATACCATTGAATTATAATATTGACTATCAATCTGCAACAAAAAATTTGCAGATATAGAATTCTTAAATTATCATAAATTTCCCTACTGGACGATAACCATAAATTTGCAACCAAAAATATTGTTGGTTCGAATATTTTATATCGAATTATAATATTGAATATGTAGAAGCGATATAGAATTCTTAAATTATCATTAATTTTCAAAAATATAGTGAAACAATCATATCTTTGTGCAAACTATAGGGGACTGGTTCTCTGAACATTTTTGTCCGATTAAATACTAAGTTTGAAACTCTTCCTAGGGGTGTGCGTGGGTCGGTTCGTTTGGGTTTAGATATTTTAATCACCTAACTCATATACCACGATTTTGAAAACACTAAATATAAACGCACCCAAATAATTTAGAATTTTAACGGTTTGTGTCCTCCATACCAAATGACCAATTTACATGTCGCTTAACTAAGGACGATCTCATTGTCCAATCCCATCATTCTAATGTCAATCCATAAAAGTAACTCATATTCGCGTTTGTTAACACGTGTTTCACATTGTCATTACTGTGACCGGTAACTTCGTTGCAACTGATTCGGTATTGCTCATCATATGGGCTCCAAACTGATAAACATATGGGGCCAACAGTTTTATTACAAAACTCAAAGTGAAGACAACTCATCGTCTGGTGGAATTTTGGCGCTTGCTGGTGTCCATTAATCTAATTGCAAGCATAATGATTGCTAAAATTAAGCGTTCACGCAACACACTGGGAGTTGGGGGTGTGTACTTGGAGTAAAAGTTGATATTGGGTTTGGGAAGGGATTAAGAGAAGTGGCGAGGGGAAGAAATTGTGTTTGGATTTGGTAGCAGTTAAAGTTCATGGTTCGGTTTCTTTTCGTAAAATGCTTTGATTTATTTTAGTTAGATGTATAATATCATGGTTATGTGGGATCAAATGAACCTGCGGCTTCCCCTATTATATAACCTGATCTACCACGCTGCTTTGAACTACTGAGTAGGCGCATCCTTTGATGCCATAGAGCAAAAGACAAGGGCACAGGACACTGTAAAAGATGGCTAAGCTCAAACTTCAAAGGAAGCAAATCAAATAGAGAGGAAGGAAGAATGCAAGCAACGGATATAAGCGTCCTAGTGTAGCGCGAAAGGACTTGGGGAATGGGAATTCCAACTTAGAAGGAGTGAATTAGATTTTGATAAACTCAAGTTCATGATTAACCGAAAGAATATTTAGATTTAGACTTTGTGGTATTGAGATGTTCATAGAGAGTCTAAAACTGATCCAAGGCCATGGGTTGATATTGGTTAGCTGATTGTGATTTTGAGGAAGGTGTATAAAAAGTCATGGAAGTAGTTTGCAGCAAGTGAAGGCAGTGAAGAGGCAGTTGGTCAGGGTAGTGATTTAACCAATGAGGATATTGAAAGACATAGAAACATAATCGGAGCAGTTGAAGAGAGAGAAGTGGTAGATGATCGGGATATTAATGAAAATGGAGAGGGTATTGAAAGGGCATGGAAGTGAACTAGATCAGGTGAAGGCAGAGAAGGAGGAGAAGAGCATATTGATGGAATTGAAGATGAGTGTTGGTTTTACGAGCTTATTTAAACTGCCCCGAGGAGGATGAGTTGGCCAAATACAAGAAAGATGATTGAGGAGTTGGAGATCAAACTGACAAGAAACTCAATTGAAAGAGAAATTCAGGTTCATGGAGAGAAGGTCCATCAAAGTAGCATAAATGGAGTTGCAGAAGGAGGATTAGAAATTGAATTTTGGTTTAAAACATATACGTCGAGAGATTGAAGATGGAGGGGATAAAAAGTTGTTTGTACAACGGAGAGTGGAAACTATTGGATCTTTAGGTGTTATTGTTGTTGCAACTACCACAACCTATGTTTATGTTAAAACGAGGAATCATTGATTGATTAACTAAAGTTAATGTCGATTCACTATTCAAACTACTGGAACCTGTAGATAAGGAGTGTCTAATTTTGTGCCTCATTACTTTGATCGAGTCTATTAGTATAGTGGATGTAATTCTAATTTTGTCATTTGCTTTCAAGTTTTGATGGTTTCCTTTTAGTTGAGTTGTTAGCATATGATTTACTTGAATCAACAATTCTTCAATTTTTTTTTATAAATCCATTTCCTTTTTATTAGTGGCATGTTATTCATAGAGGAGAGCTTTGAACCATTTATGTGGGATTGTGAGGTTTCATTTCAGTTTCAAACTATCTATGGATCGTGTGAGAATTCCAATGAGCTTTTATATTATATATTTCTGGACAATCTATTAAGCAATATCATTTTAATGGGGGCTCAATTATCATTATGAAAATGGGATTAATGATACATTTTTATATTCTTAAATGAGGAGGGTATTTTCCTGAATATTCGACCTATATATTCATTCTTTATGAAGAATCTCGATTGAATGATTTTCAATAAACTTAAACAAATTAATAGACTTAAACATAACATAAAAATATAAATATTAAAATATGAACATTCCGGCCAACGGGCCGGATTATAAGCTAGTTTATTTTAATAAAAAATTCATAAATGATTTACCCCTACCACCGCCTGCAGCAAAAAAATCCCCCTTTCCCGAAGAAACCCTAATTTCATAGAGCTTTACAAGCCTTTCCCCTAATCTCGTGATTCTTTTGCTCTCCAACTACTACCGGGACAACTAATCTTTCCTCATGTTCAAGCATATCGACCGAACCCATTTCCTTTCTTTATCACCCTAATTCATCCCAATGCAAAAGAAGGAAGAGGAGAAAGAAATACAGAGTTCCTCGGAGACCATTGCGGAATCAAGCTTTATTTACGCTTACTTTCTTCGCTTGCCTTTTAAGATGCTAACCTCACATATTGTCCCTCGTTAGAGGCTAGAGCGAGTGAAGTATGCCGATTCAATCTTCAATTACCAAAGCAAGATCTATGGTTCGCTTGCTCCTGCGGTAATATTCTTTGCTGTGCGAAGTTGCTTGCATTTGAATTAGAACAAGAAGGAGAGGGGGAGAGTTCGCATATAGAAACTGAGAGGGAGAAGGTTTAGAATATGTTCGACCGTAGGGAGAAGAGCGAAGGGAGAAGGGAAAGGAAAGGTTCCCCTTCTTTTTTCTTCTCTTATGAAATTTCAAGTTAGAGAGAGGGCCCTCTAAGTATCAATTGAGTAGAGCATGTTTCTCGACGACTATATCATTGGGTAATAGTCATTACTCATTGTAGAGAGGGACAAGCCTATAAGAGGTGTATGATTTTTCATAGGGTTGGGGCTTTCACTCTAGTGGCAGGTTTATCTTTTAATTAAGTAGCCCCTTATTCACCTCGTACACTGAGTCAAGCAACTTCTCCTTTTCTGTCATGAGCATTTGTTTGGAAAGTGCTTTTCTGCTTGTTTAAAGGAGCAGAAAACTACAAAAAGGGGTAGCACATAAACCAAGCTATGATTTTTTCTCAATCGCATAGAAGGACCTGAGACAGAGAAGGGTCTATCTATTTTATTTAGTTATTCAGTTAAACCAATGCCAATGATTCGCTATTGGAGCAAATAGCAACTCAGAAGTATTGGATTCTCTTTCGGATAGGCCCTGGAAGGAGAAGTAAGGCTGGAAGAGATTTTAAGCGAGAGGCAGTACTGAACCGGAGCCACATCGAGGCTTCCGCTTGTAGCTTGTAGACAGAAAGCAGAAAGAGAGCCTGAGGTGCTGACCCGCAGCGAGGCAGACCATCTATCCCGATCGAGATGATAAGGACTTGTCCTTACTTGAATTAGACTTGAATGAAGCAGAAACCCGGAGGATAAACAGTTGACGGCCTTGTGGGCTTTGAGAAGGAGTACCCAGGTGACAGTCCCTTGTGGCCTTGTTGGCATTTTTGTTGTGAGATTTGTCTCGGAGCCGGGTGGAAGTCCCTCATATCTAAGGCGGAGCTGAAGGCAGTGGTGAGGGGTCTGGCGGTGGAATTGGTAGCAACGAAATCTTGATCTGGCGGCAGCGAGGGGTATCGGAGAGGGCGATAGAGGCAATTAATTTTATCGGCTGGATAGGCATGGAGACGATGGAGGTGGTTGATTGGTTTTGAGGCATAGCTGGCGCCGCCACCATTGGCCATGCTGGAGAAACGACGTGTTCGTGTCGGAGGAGGGATGAATCCATTGATGCAGGAGTGTATGAACGGAGAACAAGAGATGATGGATTTGTGCTTTGAATACGAAGATAAGGATGCAATGGCGGTGGGGAAGGGACTAAGGAGGGGATGGAAGAAGGAAGTTAGAGCGACGCTGGGGAATGGAGGGATGAAGGGAAGGTCTCTTTGCATATATTTTTTTCCAGTGAATTACAATAAACTAAAAATGAGAATATCCAACATGGCAAAGTCGCGAAGAAAAGTAGCCACGTCATCAAAGGCCGTTAGTTTAGTACCTTGCCGTTAAACTTATGGACGAAATGGCTATTTTAGTGTATTTTTTAAAAATTGGCTATTATTGTCACAAAGTGCAAAGTTTTGGCTATCTCGATGTATTTTGCCTTTATAAATTATCTTACAGTTGAGCTCGAGCCGAAATTCCGATTTTCATGATGAGCCAAGATTCAATAAATGAGTTGGCTTATGTTCGGCTCGACTCAGCTCGTTCATAAACGAGTCAAGCTCGAGTATAGCTCATTTATAAACGAACCAAATCCGAACCAGACAAAGCTTGATTCGGTTCGTCTCGCCTCATTAACAACCCTGAGTCATGTTTCAGATCATGAAACCGTATCGGAAAAGTTAGCGGTAGAGTATTTTATGACAAAATTGTGGTTAACTGTAATTCAACCGTTAGTACTATTAAATATTGCCTATCGGTTAGCCTCCGATACTGGTATTTTGGGGTTGAACCGTTGGTATGGTACGATTTCATGGACCATGGACTTTTCGATCCATCAAATTTCTTGTCTTTTAGTACAGAAATGAGAGTCTTTCACAATCGTTCTCAATATGGTGAGACCAGTAGTACATGTAATATGCTGGTATATAGGGATGGCAATGGGGCGGGTTTGGGGTGAGTTTGTCTAAACCATCCCCATCCCCATCTTCAAATACCCAAACCCATACCCGCCCCATACCCATGGGGGGAATGTTTTGCAAACCCATCCCCATACCCGTGGGTTTCGGGTACCCATGGGTAATACCCGTACCCATACATCCAACACTATTATACCTAAAATTTACAAGAAAAGTTTTAATTATTACTCTAAACGAACCTATTATATCATGAAGTCAACAAAACACGATCATTTTCTTAATACGGTTCAAAGTATATGATCCTAAAACATCCATTAATACATAATATAGAGTATAATATTTTTCAAATTATTATCTTCTAACTCTTATACATCTACTAAGTAATAATTAACTAACATAATCTTGTAGACAAGGGGAAAAGTGAAAGAGTGAAAGGAGAATTGAGGGAAATGAATTAGATTTTGATTAAAATGGTCACTCAATTGCATTTCTACTATTTATTTCCTTGAGTTATCCTCATCACCATTGATAGATTACAATTTAATCCACATATTTTTTTATATGTGAAGAAATTCTCTTGGTGGGGCGGGTATGGGTATGGGTATGGGGTGGGGAGGTCAAAACCATACCCTCCCTATACCCATCAAACTTTTTGCGGGTTTTACCCATACCCGCCCCATACCCAGTCAAAGCGGAGATTCCCCGCGTTGACTGGGTCGGGGGCGGTCGGATACCCGCGGCCATGGGTTTTATTGCCATTCCTACTGGTATAAGATTCGTATATGAGATTAAATGGTTTATGAACCATTATAAAAAGTAATTTAAAAAAATGAAAGAAGATTAAAAATGAAAGAAGATTTGTTATATCAACTTCGCATAAGGTTTAAAACACAAGAAATGTAATTGAAAACCTAATAAAACTTTGGACAAAATCGGATCAACTTCACTATATCATTTTACATTTCTAAACTATTTTTCTCTGGTTTATTATCAGTCAAACTCTGCAAAACTGCATCCTCTTAAATTCGAAAATTGCATCAGTCGAGACAAAAGAACAGCTGGAAGAAAGGACAAAAATAAAAACCAAAAGGAGAAGGATCCAGTGCTTCGCGCTTTCAGTGATCCGCCTTCTAGTGACCATTTCCGCCGGTAATCATTTGGATAAGCCTTTTGCTTCCACGGACACGCACAAAAAACCCAAAGAAAAAACGCCATTAACAATGGCTTCGCCCGGCTCCTTCCGGCACAACCTGACCAATCAGTGACGAAACAATTCCTCTGTTGACTACAGTCTCTTCTATTCAGTAGAGTGGTTGCCGGAGTTTGATCGGAGAACAAATGAGTTTCCGGGACGATAACGAGGATGGGAGAGGCGGGGGCGGGGATCTGCGGAAGCCGTTCCTACACACGGGGAGCTGGTACCGGATGGGTTCGAGGCAGTCTTCCAGCATGATGGGTTCTACCGCCGGGTTTCGCGACAGCTCCATCTCCGTCCTCGCCTGCGTTCTCATCGTCGCCCTCGGCCCAATCCAATTCGGCTTCACCGTAAGCACCATCCGATTTCGATTGTGGCTATCTTTCTTCTTCTGGGTATAGCTCAAATTTGTTCAATTCAATTGCTTTGCTTCTTCTGCTACAGTGTGGGTATTCTTCCCCGACTCAGTCCGCCATCACAAAGGATCTCAATCTTACCGTCTCCGAGGCAAGAATGAACGAACTCACCTCATGATTTTGTCTTCAGGCTTCCGGCTTCGAGTCTAATTTCTTTGTGGGTTTTGAAATTGGGCAGTTTTCTTTGTTTGGGTCCTTGTCGAATGTTGGAGCTATGGTTGGAGCGATTGCCAGTGGGCAGATTGCTGAGTACATCGGCAGAAAAGGGGTAATTCCTCTTGTTCTTCTGCTCTTCGGCTTATTTTTTGGATCATGTTCTTTTGCTTGCTATTTTATGAGCTGGTCTTCCCTCTTTTCAGTCTCTTATGATTGCTGCAATCCCCAACATTATCGGCTGGCTAGCCATCTCGTTTGCCACAGTGAGTTAGCTAACTCTGTCTATATTGGAAAGAATGCAATACAGCTAAGTTAACCATGAACTTAGAAAAGCATTTCTAAAAATGGTGTCTTTGCTTATTTTTGCTGGGAAAGGATTCTTCATTCCTCTACATGGGGAGATTGCTGGAGGGTTTTGGCGTGGGGATCATCTCTTACACGGTTAAACTTCTGACACTAGTTTCTTTTGTATTAGTAAGTTTCAGTAGCAAGAAAGCTTGTGAATTGAAACTATGAAAGATTTTTTATTCAATCAGGTGCCTGTTTACATAGCAGAGATAGCACCACAAAATCTGAGAGGAGGCTTGGGTTCTGTCAATCAGGTGGGTTGAGAAGAATCGCTTGAAAACATCGAGCTAAACAGATTAGTGATAATTCTAACAGTGAGTTCCTAATGGATTTGTGTCCATCTCTATCCGTAGCTCTCTGTCACTATTGGAATCCTGCTGGCATACCTGCTCGGACTATTTGTCCCATGGAGAATTCTAGCTGTTTTAGGTAAGACTCCAGAAGCTTTTTCCATATATGCTGCCACTCAAGATTTTCTGCTATTTTGGTAAATAATTGGATGTCGCCTTAATGCAGGAGTATTGCCTTGCACAATTCTGATACCTGGCCTGTTCTTCATTCCCGAGTCTCCCCGGTGGTTGGTATGCAACAAAGCTTTCTTGAAATTAGGGGTTTTGTTTGTTATGATACTTCTTCTCAATGCTGATCTGTGTGCTTTCCTACTGATAAAAGGCGAAAATGGGGATGATGGAAGATTTTGAAGCATCTCTGCAAGTTCTCCGTGGGTTCGATGCTGATATTTCCCTGGAAGTGAATGAAGTTAAGGTAATAAGCTCGAAAAATTTCAATACTTTGAGTTCCAGATAATGATGCCTCAATCAGTTGCTTCAGATCTCTTTTTGCTTCTTTCCTTGTAGAGAGCAGTGGCTTCTGCTGGCAGAAAACAAGCAATCCGCTTCGCTGACCTAAAAAGGAAAAGATATTGGTTCCCTTTGATGGTAAATAGCAACATTCTTATGCAACTGTGGAGTTAAATCTCCAAGAAAAAGCCTCAAATTATTCATCTGACACATGCAGGTTGGAATTGGCTTGCTTGTTCTGCAACAGCTCAGTGGAATCAATGCCGTCCTATTCTATTCCAGCACCATTTTTGAAGCTGCTGGTAATCTCCCATTATTTCACACCAAAAATTTCTCGGCAGTAAATTTTCCTTTCTTGGTTTGTGTTTAATATCCTGCGAACTTTTCTTTTTTTGATAAACGATATCCTGCAAACTTGGTTCAGGAGTTACAAACGGCAATATGGTCACATGTATCGTTGGTGCGCTCCAGGTCCTAGCCACTGCTGTAACAACCTGGCTCATTGATCGAGCTGGGCGCCGAGTTCTACTCATAGTGAGTTAGAGAAACCATGGAATGGTCCCAAATGCAAAACAAAACATGTCAATTCATCAAGGTCTTACTCTTATCTGTGTTTTCCTGGTTTCAGGTCTCTACTATTGGGATGACTCTCAGCATTCTACTTGTCGCTGTATCTTTCATCGTAAAGGATTTCATATCAAGTGATTCGAATTTGTCCAACATATTGGGGATTCTGTCAGTTGTTGGAGTTCTGGTAATCATCTTCAGATTTTGTTTATTTTGCCTTGCATAGTCCTCGAATCTCTGAAACATATTTTTGTCCTCGCTGCAGGCCATGGTTGTTACCTTCTCTTTGGGAATGGGAGCCATCCCTTGGGTTATCATGTCCGAGGTACGCCATTCGTAGAGCTGAGCCATCTCTGTGAAACAAAACAATGGCTGATTATTTTTTTCTCGGTGCAAATTTGCAGATTCTTCCCGTCAACATTAAGGGCCTTGCTGGAAGCACAGCAACGCTGGCGAATTGGTTCATTGTGTGGCTGGTCACCGTGACAGCAAACTTGCTCTTGACTTGGAGTGCAGGAGGTAGGTTTTTTGCTTGCTTCACTTACTCATTCATCTCAGCTTCTGCTTTTCGTGAAGTCTGAATCTCGACTTTCGCTTCACTTATTTGGCAGGAACTTTCATCATTTACACGGTGGTGAGTGCCTTCACGGTGGCATTTGTATCACTCTGGGTGCCCGAGACGAAAGGAAGGACTCTGGAAGAAATCCAAAGCTCCTTCAGATGAGATTATCCCTTGTTTCTTCGCCCTTCTTCTTCCTTTTCCATACGGTTTTCTGAGATATTGGGCCGACATATAGCAAAATCTTTTGTACATCATATTGAGGAAGGGGAACAGAAAAGGAAGAGGGAGAAGCAGAATTTGCCCTTGATTTTGGCTGTTTTGTAATGTGGGTCGTTTTCGGGCCATTTTGTGCATAGTAAAATTCTATATGCAAATTCTTTCAGCAAAAAACGAGTTCATAGGCGGCCCTTTTGCCCATTCTCTGCCAACCCTCCTCAATTTCTTCTTCCCGACTTGTTCATCGTACGACCCCAGTCGTTAGTGAAAAGTGATTCTCATTGTCTGAGTCGTCGTTCTTGGTATGGCTGTGCATGAGTACAGTGATTAATCTTTGCTTTACTTGTTACAGTAATTAAACTGCATGAGTTGTCAGCTAGCCTACAACCTAATCAAGATCACTCTACCATTCTTCCCAAAAATGCTAAAACTTACCCTACCGAAGATGAGTGAGTGGTCGATCGGGCCTTGAGAGTATACACGCGCAATCGAGGAGGAAGACGGGTTGGGTCCAGGTAACCACATAGACCGTGAAACCGAAGACAAGACGACGACGAGATTGTACTGAAGGTCGAGGATTTGACTACCAGTTCTTATAATAGCACAACAAAAGGGCGTGAATTTAACTACTAGTTCTTAGTTCTTACTAGTTAGAATCGAATGAGCCCTCTACATCATTTTGCTAAAGAGATTATCTAATCAATCATATAGTTGGTGAGCAAAATACTGCTCTGCTTCACTTAGAGAACCTCCTTGAGAAGCTTTTCAGTAAGGGCTTTGGGAAGTCCCATTACACTATCAGTAGTTCCAACCTGAAACATCAGACCCAACAAGACAACAAACCAAAGTAAGTATCAAAATTCGGTTCGTAGTTCCATCATCCATCAATTCCATCAGAAATGAGAGTAGGGGAACTAACCACTTGTTTAACAAAAGGCACTATTAAAGGATGTTCTATGATGAGACCTCCTGCAGCTTTGAGTACTATCCCTTCTTCAACCTTGCAAGGAAAAAGGAATTATGGCTTTAAAAGGGAAAAATTCCCCCCAAGCATTACCAAAAAAAAGCTTGTAGCTCACGATGAAAGCTTTTCTCACCAGCTTCTCGATGACTTCATCAGGAATTTCGTGGAAATGGATCTGCAGGAAGGTACCAGATTAGCTGACAATTAGCCTGCATGAAATTGAGTATTGACAAAAGGAAATCATGCAGAAGGAAATAAGTTGGCAACCTCCACGCGGTCCCATCCTCCTTTCCTCAGACCGGTCTTAAGGTTCGTTACAACGACTGACCCAACAGTAGCAGCATGGCCGCCAGAATAGTCTGCATTTCAATGTTGGTGAATCAAATGGAAGTGAAACAAACCAGAGGAGTAGAACAAGGTGGGAAACCGGTGGTGCAAAAAAGATGTTGGTCCAGCAAAAACCTTTCATGAACTGCCGTGCTTCTTCCTCGTTGCTTGGCTTCTCCCTTATTGCACCATCATAGACCACCACCTCAAGAGGGAGTAAATTGAACAATAGAGCGAAAAGAGAGAGAGTAAGTTATCCACAAGAAAATTAATCCAATAAAGGGTGCATGACTCAATCACCAGAAGCCATCTATGGTTTGAGGATACAGGCAGTCATTTGGTGCTTTACATATGATGCGAAAGGGCAGGAGGGATCACAAGACTTTAAGAAGTAAGTTATGTGTTGCCAAGGAAATGAACATACATTGTAGAATCCCACATTTCAATCTATAAGGAGAGAGGATTGTGAATGTGATGAAAATTTCAAGTGCAGTAACAGGATACGAGTGGATAACTTTTCCCAAGATATGGTTATGATGGAATGAAAGACATTGTTTAACAACACTTATATGCTTAACTTAGACCTATGAAACACAATCTAATGTTTGGAAAAGCGAGTACAAAAGGTTGGACATGGTTAATACTTGATCTGTGGTAATTAACAATGTTGGCTCAGCACGCTGTGCATAGTCACCGATCGGGAGTCTCTCCAAGATGGCTTCAGCCTGAGAAGAAGTTTTTTCACAAGCTAAGATAAGCACCTGGCTAAAAAAATCCAGTAGTTCCACAACCAGAGGGAAAAACCAAGTGCTTCAAGTGAAACAGCAATGCAAAGAGAACAACAAGAAGAAATCAAGTAAGTGAACAGAGCCCTTATCCAGCCATTTCCCATGGTCCCCAAGTCTAGGGGAAAAAAGACTGAAGAGATAAAAGTTGGTTCCAGCACTAGACATTTGTATCCTCAAACCATAAATGGCAACAGGTGAGACTTCCATGCATCCGCTTTGTCTAAACAAAGGACCATGAAAGGCCAAAATATACATACTGTATCAGCTGCAACTAATACACTTGTCTCAGCTTCAGCAATCTTCTCCAGATTATTGATGGATTGTAGTTTAGCTACAATTGCATCAGCCTGAGATGCATCATCCCACATTAAACGCGATTAATGTCTCGAAACCGAACAAACATCCACGAATTTATGGTAGTATTGAACAAATGAAATGCAGGCAACATCCAAGCCCAACATTGGTTAAGGTTGCAGCACAAAATTAGCTATGGATGGACCTTAAGAACTACTAGCAGCTAAGACATCATCACTCACCTTAGCTTCCGCAAGAGCCATTACCAACTCCTCTGGCTTTTCCTTCCGGATTGCCTTTTCATCAATATCTGCAGTCTTTGTACACACACGCACACAAAGAAAGGTCATTATTCAACTTGGAAGAAGGTAAACCATTTAGAGTGGTGAAGAGAAAGGGACTTTACCATTACGGTGAATTGATAACCCATCTCAGCTAGAATGGTTTTCCGCGCAATCGAAGCCGAACCCAATATTACCTGCATGGTTTTTAACAGGAAAGTTATAGCTTTTTAGCACTTCACTCTACTGCCAGATCATAGTCGCTTCCAATTTTCTGGGAAACTCAAGCGCCTCTATCTCTCTCCCAAAAGCAGAAAAAAGCTAAGAGAAGAAAACTTTTGCTTACTTTGAAGGGAGGAGTCTTTTTTGCTTCCATTATCCGGCAGCGAGAGGAGGTGAGCAGGCACTGAGCGAGAGCAGAGCAGAGCTTAAACAGGCGAGAAAGAACGGCGACGACGAAGACGGAGCGTGTACTTTACGCGGGAAGGAAGCCGAGTGGTTTATATCCATGGGAGCGGATCGCTCTTCTCAGCAGTGAGAGGCCCAATGGGCCTAGGCTCATTTAGTCTGGATCAGTAGAGTGGCCCGTGATAAAATTAGGTCTACTAGTATATATCTCTCTCATTACACCGACCCTAATGGTCTATGAAAGGGCGCTAGATGCTAATTGGTTCGATTTCGGTTAACCACTAAATAATTTGGTAGTTAGTGTTTAATAATGAAGTAAAAATTTAATCGATAATCATCATGGTTGTCACGCTGGCCGGCGTGCCACCGGTTGTACCAGGTTCAACCGGTACCGGTCATAAAACCGGCGTGACACCACCGGTATGACCGGCATGATCAATATACGAATCTCTAAGTAAAATAACCTTATTTTAGAGAATTTAATTGATAAAAATTGTTTTATTATTTATTTTATGAGTATAAAATTTAAATATCGATGTTATTTGTTGGATTCAAGTATAAATGTTTAGGTATTGACGTTAGATGTCATGTTTAAATATGAGTATTTATAATTTTATTTGTAATATTGACCGGCATGAACCGGCACAAACCGGTATGTGCCACTGATTGAACCATTCCACTTGCTAAACCGGCACACTGGTATAAACCGGTTTGACAACCTTGATAATCATTTTCAGTTAATCATTAATTAATTTTTAAGTAAAAAATGTTTATTGATAACTCTCATCGGTTAACTGTCTATTGTTGGTGCAGTTTGTGGTTACTGATTAGTATGAAGGCTAACCACAACCAATAACAACTTCAACATATGACATTTTATACAATACATAATACATCGTGAATTCATTATTCAAATTCCAATACTTAAAAGTAAAATTAATAAAACGTTGTCGTCCAATTAGCCATATCAACTAGTTAGACATCAAATACAATCACCACAAGATCATCATCATTTACAAACATAAAAATACAAAGTCTACTAGGAAGTGAGGTCCGCCCCATGGGACAGGTTACGGTGATTACTACTTTTGTAGTAATCACCATGGTTACTAAGGGTAAATTGGGTATGAAAAATAAATTGTATTAATTAATTTTTTTAATAAATTAAATTTTAGGTAGTTACAAGAATCTATTAATTACAATTCTCTCTCTTTCTCTCACTTCCATAATCTCCAGCCAGATCCACTTTCCTTATTTTTCTCAATCTTTCTGCAAAAGAAAAAAAACATGAAATCACTACCAATCCATTAGACAACCACTACCACTTTGAAAAATATCAATATCATTGCAGAAATAAATCTATACCATTACACGAAAACTACCAATATAAACAATCTACCAATATAAATCTATACCATTTCACAAAAAATCAATATAATTGCAGGTTTAATCAATACCAATACATGCAAATTAATACCATTACATGATAATCAATACCAATGCGACAAAAACAATACCAATGCGAAAAAATACTACCATTACGAAAAAATCACTACCAATGCGAAAAAATCAGATCTGGAATTTTTATTCATCTCACCTTTTTCAGTCGCATGTGTGAGAGAGAGATTGCGAGGGGAGTGGTGGGGTGGTTAGGAGAGAGAGAGAGAGAGAGAGAGAGAGAGAGAGAGAGAGAGAGAGAGAGAGAGAGAGAGAGAGAGAGAGAGGGGAAGGAGGGTGGAGGAGGAAGGAGGAAGGAGGCAGGGACGATGGGGGAGGTGGTGGGGTGGTTAGGGGAGAGGGGAGGGAGTGGCTTGGGATGGGGAGGGGAGAGGCGAAGGGGAGGAAGAGAGGGCCGACGGGGGTGGGAGAGGCGGAGATATATAATAGTTTGTTAGGATTGGGATAATTATTAGAGATTTGAAAAATATATGGAATGTTATATTTAAAAGATAGTAATCCAGTGTGGTTATTATTTTTTTTTTCAAAATTAACTCCATTAAATCATAACCGTCAATTTAAAAATGCTCAGAATGGAGAGTAGAGATATAGGTAGCCACGATGGCTACCAAAAAAATGGTACCCATCCTAACCCATTCCCCGCCCCATCGACCCCAAAAAGGAATGGAAAAGAGATAATTTTTTAGATAAGGGTGATATAGATTGATTTTTTTTATGATTTAAATACTACTGAAGATTTTCAAACCTATGACCTCCAGGTTCAATACTAGTAGTACTGCCATTAGGCCAAATCTTTCTTATATATGAAAATGGGTGGTTTTTATTTCAAACAATAAGTCCAACAAATATAAATTAGCCTTGTATCATTAATTTGTTTGAAGAAGATAGTTTTTTTGTTGGTGTAGGAAGATAAATTTATGTCAAACCACACTAGAAACATAATAATACTTTTGAGTAATAATGTTATGATTTTTATTAAGTTAATCAATTTACTGATTTTATTTTCTTATATGAAAAAATTGGTTACATATTGTTCCTGAACACATGGGCTCTATAATTTGTTGGACGACCTTATCCATTACAATATTGTACTTTTTTTCTTTCTATCATGAACCAATCCACCTATATTCTAGTGTAATCAGTCATCACGAATAGTAATCATAATTTCAATATAATAGATTCGAAGCACGCGTTAATTGTAAACGTAATATACTTCCTATCTATCAAAAGAAAATTTGAATGGGAAATTTTATTGACTAAACATCCATAAACGAAGGGAAAGATGGAGGATAACAAAAGAAGAAGAAAAACTAGGAACCTAAAAAAGCCTCAATGGCTAAAACATCTGTATTGGACTAACTCCATTTCCCTGCTGTATATTAAAAAAAAAAAAACTAATTCCCCTCCTAACTAAATTCCACAAAGCATCTTTTTTGCAACGACGTCTCCGTCATCTTAAGTTAATCTTCGTCACTAATTCATTTTGGGCGTCCAATTCACTGAATCTTCAGACCCCACCGGCCTACAAGACAAGAAAACCAAACCGTAAAGATAAAATGAATGATAATTTTTTTTTTTACCACCATTAATATGAAAATCGCGAAGACTATATATTTTTTACCTTTGTGCGTCATCTCTGAAGCGATGACTTTTAGCGACGGGAGATTCAGAGACGGCGGACCTTGCACCAGCGGGGGAGCCCGGGTGACGTGGCGGTTTCCGGTAATTGGGGAGAGGGACGCGGCCGGACTCGATCCGGCGGACGTCCTCCACCAGGTCGTCGTAGTGGCGCTGGACGTCGTCGACGGTTTTCCCGCCGCCGACGGCCCTGGCGACGTTGTGCCACCTGTCGGGAGTGTCCCTGTCGAACATGGCGACGGCGTTCTCGAACAGCTTGTTCTGCCACGGCGTCCAGCCGCCGCCGTTGTTGGCAGAAGAGCCGTTGGATGAAGCCATATAATATATGTTTTTAGTGAGGAAAAAGGGTAGTATTATTTATTTATATAATACTCGAGACTTAAGAGTGATGGATTTTGAGTGAGGAAATGGTGTAGAGGGATTTGTGGTGCTTATATAGAGTGAAAAAGGTAGCAGGGGATTGGTCTGGTGGTAATGAGTTACGCAAAATAACGTTATGTCGTTATGGGAAGTAGAATCAGCTGGGTTTGTGTACATGCCTTATGTTGTAATTCGTGAAATGGTAAAGATATTTTGAAATTTGGCAAGGCTAAAGGATTTGTTCGGTGGTAAAGCGACATAAATTTAATTTTTTATAGTGAATGCGTCATATAATGTTGTTCATGAAATGTTTTTTTTTTTAAATTACGTAAGTCATGCGAGCGCGTTATTTTCGTTAGTTCGAACAACGGATTAGCTAGTATTTGTATACTATAAGGGCATCTATCTTGAAACCTATAGAATCCTTATCGTCAACAATCCGCGACTCCAATGGCAATGTAGAATTCTTAACTAAAAAATGACTCGTTCTTTCCTATCCATTTCTGCATCAACAGCTTTAGGGTGTTGTTCTTTTTTCTCTTTATTTGGTCCTTAATTCCTTGAATTGGTGGCTGGCTAGCTCTCGTGCGCTGCCTGGAATTTGCAAGTTGGCAAACTGATATCGACATGGAAGCAGTTCATGGAGCTTGTAGCTGTCGATTCAATCAGCATCGTAACCTAAAGGCCAGATTCCAATTATCCCATATATAGATAACATATATATGCCTGTTATGTAGCATCAGATTTATCCTGATGTCAATGTGGAATCCTTTGCCTTTTGAAGAGAAGGAAAAAAAACCCTAATCGACTGGTTGATAGTTTTATTTTTTTCCAACTCACAGAGTTAGCTAGATATGGACTATAATAGTAATCATCCATAGTTGAAGGGCTCGGATGGCTACTCTGGAGTGGTGATTCCATTAACCGAACCGAAAAATCATTAGAAATCAGAACATGAATTAGTCAATTGTCTAAAACCAAAATCCAGTATCCGTTAACGGGTTAGGTCTCGTTCGGAATAAAACCAAAAGCAAACCTTTAAGAATTCATCAGAACCATTAAGAACTTATCGATTTTTACCCGTTATGGGAAATTGATAAGTCCATAAAACCGGTTTGTTTCGGTTACAACCTACGGCCACCTTAGTCACTACTATATATCCCTATTATAATAAAGGGATAATATATAACTATATATGTAAGGTTGCGAGGAAAAGAAGAATAGATAGCAATTGCATGATAAGAGGTTCCTCTTGGGAAGATTCAGCAACATATATACATGGTGGAATATATATATGAGATGTGAAGTTCAATATTCTTTGTGTCCTTGACCACATAAAAAGCTATATAGCTTTTGCATTGTGGGGCAACTAAAAGTTGAGTTTACCCTTGTCAAAAAAAAAAAAGTTGAGTTGAGTGATGTATTAGATAAAATATTTGAGTTGCTACTCCAATCGTAGGAGTTTGGAATATCAATTAGCTAGCCATTCATTTGTGGTAGATAGTGTGGTTCAAAGATAACTCAAGAGGTACTGTTGGGGCATAGCTCGGGTCCCAGCGTGCCAACATGCGCGCGGCCACCAACTCGCCAGAACAAACCGGCTTCGAATAAGGACCAGCGCGAATGACCACCAAAAAGATGCAATTGCGCCTCAGCCCGATTGCGCATCCGCGATACCTGAACACGTACTCGCGGTTATTCGATCCGCTCATGGAACCCTCACCTTTAAACATGTCCACGGAAGGAGAAGACCAAGACGACGACGTGGCACTGACAAGCAGTCAGTTCTCGCTCGTAGACCTAATCATATCCTAGTTATCTGTCTTGCCTAAACGTCTTGTCATCTGAGACACACACCTACCTAGGGTAGCCTATAAATAGAGCATTTACCCCGTTGGGTGAAGGGATATCCTTTTTCACTCTCTCGCTCTAGAAATATAAACAGCTTCTCTCACTAAGATTCTCCCAACCTCCTTTTCTCAGACTTCGTTGTTACCAAACAGATCATAAGTGTACAAGCGGATCGTCCCTCCCCACACTCGCACCCCATTTATCCGGTGTCTCACTCCTACACTTAGTTACGCTTTTTTTTTTAATAAAAACGGGTGCAAAGCACCACTACTTCTTATTCATTAATCGAGCGGACTGTAAAGCCTCCAATGGAGTCAAACAAAGCCCACCAACAAATGTCGGGGTCAGATAAAGTAATAGAATGAGAGCCAGGTGGCAGACCATGACCCTTATGAGCTAAACAATCGGCCAATAAATTAGCCTCTCTATAGATGTGCTTAATCCGGACGACCCAGTCACGTTGCAGTAGATCTTGAAAGCACAATACGAGATTGGCATGGTGGTGACAATGGTTGCCAGTATCCTGAAGGAGAGTGGTTGCTGCGCGTGAGTGTAGCTGCAGCTCAACTTGTCGTTGACCCGTATCCCAAGCGAGCTTGAGGCCACGAAGAGCTACCCAGATTTCCGCACGAGTAATGGAACATTTCCCCAGGTTCATCTCAAAAGCCCCCAACAAGCGACCCTGCTCGTCTCTAAGCGCCCCAACTGCAGCGGCTAACCTCGACGGGCTCAGAAAGATCCGTCAGAGTTCACTGTGATCCACCCTGTCGGAGCCGGTCTCCACCCAACAGCCGCGTCTCGACGCGACTCTGACCGCCCCAGTGATAGTGTGTGTTCCGCTGCCTTACTCTGCTGCGCTATGACCTCCCAAGCTAGGATCCTTTGCGATAACTTGTTGGGTTCTTCTACGATGTCTGAGAAAATGAAACCATTTCGTGCACGCCAAAGAAACCAGCAAGTGAGGCCGAAACGAACTTGGTTGGTGGGACACGTGATGAAGCTAAGCAACCATTCATGGAAGGGGCGATCGTCCGTCTGGGCTGTTGCCACCGGTAGAGTGATTTCCCACACAGCTCTCGCGTAGCTACAGTGACGAAGAACATGCTCCAAGCTTTTGCTATCAGCCCGACACCTGGCACACATGTCCTCGCTGGTGAGATGACGCCTCCAATGCTCGGTGTTGGACAACAGCCGTTTGTGAGCCGTCATCCAAAGGAAATGGCGGACCCGACTGGGCCCCGACCAAATCCAGATCTTCTTCCAGGACGGCGAAGCTTCATCTCCATCGATCTCCGCCACCAACATGTACGCCAACTTTAGAGTGAAATGCCCCTTTTGCTCCAGGCCCCAAACTACCTCGTCCTCTCCCAAGGTCGCACGAGGGGGCGGCATACCAGTACCTGCAAGACAACATGTTCGGGTAAGTAACAACGAATAAGGGGGAGATCCCACTCACCTTGCTCATTCACCATGTCTGCCACCGTCGCTTCAATCGGAAAATCTTCGTCTTGGTTTGTAACGTGGTCAACCAGCATCTCTCCACTATCCAACCATAAGGCCTTCCAAAATGAAGTACCCCTTCCGTTACGCACACTCCAACGAGCCCCCGCGTCCATCAAGCCCCACACCCGACGGATTCCGCTCCAAAGAACTGAACACCTGGTTTTCCTGCGTAAACTGATCACCCCGTTAGCACCCTCCCTAAGGTATTCTCCGTGAGGATTTTTACCTATAGTTCCTTAGGCTTTTTGAGATGCTCCATGCAAGTTTAATTAAAAATGCAGTGTTAAGATCTCGAGCATTTCTTAGCCCTAATCCTCCTTGATCCTTAGGGCGGCATATGGTCTCCCAATTAACCAGGTGCATGCGGCTCCGCCCCTGTTGGGAGCCCCAAATGAAGCTTCTAATGCGGCGGTCCAGGTAGTCACAAATCGAGGCTGGGAGGACCGATGTCTGCATCGCATACGTCGGGATGGCGTTGAGGACAAAGAGGGCTAAGGTAACCCGACCCAGCAAAGAGAGATTCTCCGGCTTCCAACCGGCAAGACAATTATCAATAATATCAATGAGATAACTATAAGTATGCTTGGTTACTCTTCCATGCAGCACTGGAACTCCCAAGTAGCGCCCTAAGTCATGGGTGACTGGGTCATGGGAATCCCAAGGTCGTCACTGATGTCTCTCCATAATTGGAGATCCACGTTCTTGGAGAAATAAATCCGGGACTTCTCCTTGCTCACCATCTTTCCGGACGCGTCACAGAACTCGTTCAAACTTTTAAGAATCACCTCAGCTTGGGCCTGAGAAGCTTCTGAAAACATAACAAGATTATCAGCGGAAAAAAAGATGAGTTAGTTTGGTACCTCCCTTGACCAACTGGATCGGTTTCCAAGACCCCTTCTCCACTACTTCTCCAATCAAGTGACTTAGGTGCTCAACACAAAGAGTGAAGAGGTACGGGGACAGGGGGCAGCCCTGGGGCAATCCCCTAGACGGAGAGAACCTCTCGGTCTGAGCACCTTCCCACAGAATCTCCATCGTAGGGGTCGAAACACAAGCCATCACAGCAGCAATGAAACAGCTAGAGAGCCCCGCCTGCTTCAAAGTATCCTCAATGAAGCTCCAACTAAGCCGATCGTAGGCTTTAGCCAGGTCAATTTTCAGCACCATCTCGCCCTTTTTACCTTTCCTCGTGTGCATCGTGTGAACCACCTCCTGCAAGATAATGATATTATCTTGAATATGACGCTCAGGGACGAAGCTAGTTTGGGTTGGAGCAACTAACTTCCTCATGAGGGGTTTCAGACGATTGGGCAAGCATTTAGTGAGTGTCTTGTAAGACACGTTGTAGAGGCTTATCGGACGGAAGTCGGAGACCCTCTCCGGGGTTTGCTTCTTCGGGATGAGAACAATAAGCGTCTCATTGATCGAGCTAATAAGATCAGGCATACGAAAGCATCTAACTAAGAAGTAGCAAAGACGGGCTCCCACCGTGGTCCAGCACTTCTGGAAAAACAGTGGCTGGAATCCGTCCTTGCCCGGGACCTTCATCGCCCCCATATCCTTAACCACAGCCAGAATCTCATCCTGTAAAATATCAGTATCCA